GAGATTTTCAAAATCGATCTATAGAGACAATAACTCAAATAACATTCCAACCTCATATTCAAGTGAGTAAGAATAATAACTTTCCTTTTTTATTTGCCTACTGGTATCTCTAGGGGCCCATGGAGATGCCCCACTACGCATGAACTCATATCCAATATTGTCAACAAACTGGGCATTCCCATACCCCGTCTGGGTATGAATGTCAAAAATATTATCCCTCAATACTCTGTCCGGTATGAGGGTAAATTGGGTCGTCCTCATACCCCGTCCGGTATGAGTACCAAAAATACCATTCATCGATAACCCGTCCTGTATGACGCAACGTTCATGATAGGGTTCCCTATATACCCAGTCCGTCCACTATCTCCTAGATATCCAGTAAGGCTACCATTAATTCACATGAATAATAATTTTTCGTTTGCATATTAATTACTAATTTCACAAATCAACTGTAAATCACGCAAGACAAGTAATATATATATATCAAGGATGCAATATTTAATCATTTAACCATTTCAGTATATCATCATATATTTAAAACTGTAAATTCAACAATTAGTTAAACAGGACAACAAATAAATGACTAACCGGTTTCTAGCTCTATTGGTAACCTGCAATTATTTTCACAGTTTTCTAAATTACACAAAATACCATATTACCAATTATTAAACTTCAATTTCATAACAGAGAATAAGGTGAGAAATTCTTACCCCAATCGGTGTCTAAAACACCGAACTTTCTATTGCACCTACCGATCCCTAAGTTGTCTGAATTTTTCTGCATAGATTAAAGCACACTTCACGTACCTAAAAATATCCTCAAAATTCAAAATCGGTGTTAAAAAATTTTTTCAGTCAATTTTAAATATATTATCATATATTTAAAACTGTAAATTCAACAATCAGTTAAATAGGACAGCAAATAAATGACTAACCAGTTTCCGGCTCCATTGGCAACCTGCAATTATTTTTAAAGTTTTTTAAATTACACAAAATACCATATTACCGATTATTAAGCTTCAATTCCATAACAGAGAATAAGATAATGATTCTTGCCTGAATCGGTGTCCAAAACACCAAACTTTCTACTGCACCTACTAGTCCCTGAGTTTTATGAATTTTACTGCATAGATTAAAGCACGCTTCACGTACCTAAAAATATACCCAAAATTCAAAATCGGTGTTAAAAAATTTTTTCAGCCAATTTTGAATTTTGGCACAGCGGCACCGTCGTGCTTCGACGACGGCACCATCGTGTTTCGAGGATGGCACCGCCACCCACGATGATGATTTGCCTCGGCTTGGCCATTTTTGGCCAGTTTTGGCTTGTTTCTGCCAGTTTTATATCCATTCGTATGAGAAAACACGTTATGGGGCCTCAATTGGCCAAAAAAAGTTTAAAAAAATGAAAACCTACTAGCGAAGGAATTTTCTGATGCGATGGCTTCGTCAGCTTACCTTCGCAGCTTGGTATTTTTTTTCGGTCAATATGTAGAAAATAGAACGATGAACACAATGGTGGAAAAATCACACGAAACGGAAAACGGAAAGGGGCTCATCAGAGGTGATTTTAGGTTTTTCTCGCGACAGCACCGTTGGGTTTTGCTTGTAGTTTTCAGCTCATCTGTTGTTCATTTTGTTCCAATTTAACCATGGAGATGCTCGGAATCAAATTTCAAGCGGATAGGAGAATTTTAACCTTTTTTGGCGGTCAACTACCTTCTCCGGTGACTGGTTCTTCTTCTCCGGCATGAGGCTAGCGGCTAGGGTTTGGTTTCGGTGTGATGCGAGACGTTTATACTCGTATCGCTTAAATTTGGGTCGTTTATCGCGTTTGATCTTGATCGTCCAATCACATTTAAAGAGAAATGAATCTAAACCGTTCATTGTAATTTGATCTCGATCGTCCAATCACGTGTAAAGAGAAAATAAATCTGAATCGTTCATCGCGTTTAATCACGATCGTCTGATCACACTTGAGGAGGAAACGAATCCGGACCGTCCACACACGCGGGAACGCTTCCGGGCCATCCATCGCGGGCACGCAGATTGTCAGCGTGGTCTCCAGCGTCGCACCAAGTCAGGGTGGCTTGCCACACGGCGTGTTCAGGTTCGTCAGAGCTGTTGACTAGGCGGTCCTACGTAGCATAATTTTTTTAGTTACATTTTGATCCCCAATTTCTGATTTTTCTTTCAAAAACACCGTTCGGACCCAAATTTTCACCATTTTTTCTCAAATTTTTTTTAATTCCATCCTCAACCTAATTTTTTCCTAATTTCACACGAAATAAAAATTTATTAATTTCAAAATTATATTTTTATAAAGTTTCTAAATTTTAAAATTAATCCTATGCCAAATTTTAGGTCTGGATATTACACATGACGAATGTTTTGGATTCTGCATAAAAAATTCAAAAAATTCGATATTCGTTAGGAGGCATGGTAGATAGTATGACATCTCAAAAATACCGATCTGAGTAAAGATCTCTCACCTTATTCTTCGTTACGGTAAATTGAGGTTTAACAATGTATAATTTCGTATTTTTATGAAAAATTAGAGAACCATAAAAATAATTATATGTCACTAGTGGAGTCAGAACTAGTTAGTTCACGATTGTCCTGATTTTCTATTTATTTTCCTATACTACTCTATTTGCTTGTTATTATATGGTGCATATTCTTAGTTTATATTTTCTATAGCCTTATTAATTTATCTAGTTTATTCGTTATATACCATCAACATGAATGTAGTTTAATTGATCTGTAAATGTAATATGAGATATTGGTATGCGTGGTTGGTTGCTTTGTTGATGGAAATATTTATGTGAAAGAATTACTGAGTACCTCGGGAAAGGGCGAACAGGTGCAGTACATAGAGAACCCTATCGTGAACGTTACTTCAGTTGAACGAAGTATAAAAGTCCCTTACCGAAAGGGTTTGGGAGATATGATTTACCCTTATACCGGATGGGGTATCGAGTAGAATATTTGACGCCCATTACCGGACGGAATATGGGGACGGCTAGTTAATTATTAAAATTGGATATTGGATTCACGAGTAGGAAGACATCCCTATGGACCCCCAAAGGTATTATTAAGCAAGTAAGAAATGAAAGTTATTGTCTCTTGTTCTCTTATGCGTAAAATAAAAAGTGGTATGGATGTGGGTTTTCATATGTTATTTTTGAAAAACTCGTTACAATAAGTATCAAACAAATGTTTTTAAGTTGAATTTATTTAATTAAAGCAATAGCTCAATTAGTTGTTTTTCTGATTTTTACGAATCTTTAGTTTTTTGTATATGTGATTAATTTGATATTCTTACTGAGTTAGTGTAACTCACCATTTCGTTAACAATTTCAGATCAAGAAGATCAAAATGCATATCCCGATCAGTAAAAGGGTTGTGAGTAGTTCACCATCCGGACTCATTTCAAGTACTAGTAAAGGTTGTCTTAGAATACTTATGTATTCATTTTTTTTATTTCTTTAATTATCATTGTCTTTTAAAATGGATATTCCTGTATTTCTATTTCGCATTTCAAATTATTGTGTAAGGAATGTAAACTCTAACTCTATTAATCGTTTTCGCATTTAAATTATAAATTCATTTCTTTTAAGATTTCATTCTTCTACAATATAATTTCTATTATATTTTTATTTTTTCATAGAATTCAAATTGATATCAAACTCAATGTAATGGTCATTCATAAATTGATAAAAACGAAATAATTAATTACGATATAAAAATGTGATAATGGTGAAAACAATAAGATATTAAAGAGAGTGAGGATGATTGTGATGGTGTTCATGGCGATGATGAAATGATAAAGGTGGTATAGGTAATAATAGAAGTTATGATGGTAATAATAATATTTATAGTGGTGACAATAGTAGCAATTAATAACAATAATAGAATGATATTAATAAAAGTCATAGTAATTTTATTAAAAAAAATATTAAAAAGTATTTCAATAATTTTTTAGTATTATTAGGATGAGATAGTAGTGTTTATAATTTATATCTTATAAACTAAAAAAAATACTATCTTCTAAGAAGGATAATTGTTTAAACTTTTTTATTTTTTGAAATTTTTTTTAAATATCAGACAACAAATGAGCAATATATCAATGTCCTTAAGCTGATTACTGAACAAAATCATTGTATATAGATGTCTTTTTAGAATGAATAACTATTGATTACTAACTTTGTATATTTATGTACTATTAGAAAGATTTGACAAGAGTAATAAAAAATTAGATTGATTCTCACTATTCTAAGTTTTTAGTATTTTCTTTATAACTTTTTAAGAGAAATTTTTTTTCTATAAACTAAGATTAAAATTGGGTAATACCATCCACATACAAGAGTTGAGCGATTATCTTAGTTGCAATTGTTTTTTTTTTTTTAATAATTGTATTATTAGTTATCTTAAAAGGTTAAAAAGTTATGCAAAATAACACAATATATTATTTTTATTCAACAATAATAATTACAAAGACCTATTTTTATTGGTAGATTTTTTTTTTCTTTTTTTTGGTTGAATAAGAGGTGTTCGCACTTGGGTTTTGAAGTCGGATGATGTATCACCAAGTGTGCCCTCTGCATGTACAGTATATATATAGTACTTTAAATACACAGTGTCGCTGCCATCCATTTGTTAAGCCACCATCTTTAAATACATAAATAAATTTTTTAAATTGCTAGTTTTGATTCAAATAAATTCAATTTAAAAAAATCTAATTGTGGTGTCCAATAAATTGGTAAATTTTATTTTTAAATTGCTCGAAATAATTGTTAATTATTGCAAGTGTATTCAATAATATAATATATTTACTTTAAATTTTTATGAAAAATATAAAAATAAAATTCCTCTTTGTGTAAGTCATATATATTTATGACCCTCCAATATCTTAAACACTTGATAATTTTTAGTTTAAATATTTAAATACTTCACGATTTAAAGGTGTTTCCTTTTCTTTTACCTACTATCTGCTCAGAAAGAAATTTTTTTAAAAAAAAAAAAATCTCAACCACTCCCTTCTTCAATATGCGTATATAAAGTTTCTTTCATGTTCCATGCATTTTAGTATCAATCCCGATTGTCCACAACCTCTGTTGGTGCTCATTTTCTCGAGAAACAAACAGGGAAAAGATAGAGAGATAGAGAGACAGAGAGAGAGGTTATCTCTCTCCAAGTTCTCCCAAACACTTCAAAAAAAAAAAAATCGATCAGCCATGGCTGCAGCAGCCTTGTCTATCGAAACCGGCGTCACCGTCCAAGAAACGGTTGACCTCGAGAGAAACAGTATCAGCCATCGCCATGAAAGGGCTGAATGGGTACTCAATGCTCCAAACCCACCAAGCCTCTGGCGGGAGCTCGCAGATTCCTTGAAAGAAACTGTTTTGCCGCGAAAAACCAAACTGTTTCAATCTCTCAAGCAGGAACCTGCACCAAAACGCGTCGTTTCAATCTTGCAGGGAATATTTCCTATTCTCTGCTGGTGCCAAAACTACAAAGCCACGAAATTTAAGCGCGATCTGATGGCCGGTTTAACTCTCGCCAGCCTTTGCATTCCTCAGGTAAATTAATTTATAAATAAAACCCACCAGGCATTTTTTATTTTCAGATTATTATTTGGTGTCTGAGTATAATTTTCTTTTTAATGCAGAGTATCGGTTATGCAACTCTAGCGAAGCTTGACCCTCAATACGGCCTCTGTAAGTTGAATAAATTTCTTGTAGTGTCTTGATTTTCAGAAGGTAAATTAATGATGTGAATTTGACGAGTTTTGTTGCAGACACAAGTGTTGTTCCGCCGTTGATTTACGCAGTAATGGGGACTTCGAGAGAGATAGCCATTGGACCTGTTGCCGTGGTTTCATTGCTCTTGTCGTCGATGTTACAGAAACTGGGAGATCCTGATGCTGATCCGATTTCTTACAGGAAGCTTGTACTTACTACAACCTTCTTTGCCGGCATGTTTCAAGCTGCCTTTGGCCTGTTCCGGTCAGTTTAATTTCATCATCAACTTTATTATTTCTTTAGTACATGGTTCTATACAAAGACGAGTATGATTAATGATGTTGATGATGAGAGAAACAAATATTTTCTGTGGTTTTTGTTATTTACTGTTTTGGTGGGTAAATATTACAGGTTGGGTTTCCTGGTGGATTTCCTTTCACACGCAGCGATTGTTGGGTTCATGGCGGGTGCCGCTATTGTCATTGGCCTTCAACAGCTCAAGGGTCTGCTGGGAATTAGCAAGTTCACCAACAATACGGATGTTGTCTCTGTTGTGAAAGCAGTGTGGAATTCACTTCATCACCAAGTAATTAATTAACTCATATAATATATATATATATATAAGTATTCACTTTTCTTTTTTCCATAATGCAAAAGAAAAAAGAAAAAAGAAAAAAGAGAAAAGAAAAAGAAAAGCTGTACGATCAACTAGGAAAAACTATCTGCATATGTATGCTTCAATTTTCGGTTCACTTTTTGAAAGGTTAATGAACTGCAAGACCAAATTGTTGATGAGGTAAAAGAATAGAATCAGAAGTAGCTAACCCATGTTTTATTATCTGTGATCACAGTGGAATCCGTACACCTTTATCCTGGGTTGTTCATTTCTCTCTTTTATCCTATGTACAAGATTCTTGGTGAGTATATATTAATATATAATTAATACTATAGTCTTATATTGAAAAATCCATAAATATGTAATTGATATAGTTATCTATGTTTGTGATGATCAGGGAAGAAGGAACAAGAAACTATTCTGGTTGCCAGCCATTGCTCCTCTACTATCAGTAATCATATCAACCCTCATCGTCTTCATAACCAAAGCTGATAACCATGGAGTCAAGACAGTGAAACACATAAAAGGAGGCCTGAACCCATCGTCTGTTCATCAGTTAGAATTCAACACCCCACATGTTGGAGAAGTTGCCAAAATTGGGTTGATCATTGCTGTCGTCGCTCTTACAGTTAGTTAATCATATATACATACACAACATATACATACTATATACATGTATGTAAGTTTAGATAACTGAAAAGTGTGAAACTTATCAGGAAGCAATTGCGGTGGGTCGATCATTTGCGTCCATAAAAGGATACCACCTTGATGGAAACAAAGAAATGGTAGCCATGGGATTCATGAATCTTGTTGGATCCTTCACTTCATGCTATGTGGCCACTGGTAATATATACATATAAACAGGAACTAGCTACTCCTAATTAATTCTGGTCATATAATATAATATAATATAATATATATGTAGGATCGTTCTCCAGAACGGCGGTAAATTTCACGGCGGGGTGCGAGAGTGCAATGTCAAATATAGTAATGGCGATTACAGTGTTGATAACGTTGGAGTTTCTGACGAAGCTGTTGTATTACACTCCAATATCGATTCTTGCTTCCATTATCCTCTCTGCTCTACCAGGTCTGATCGATTATAATGAAGCTATCAAGATATGGAAGATTGACAAGCTTGATTTCCTTGCTTGTGCCGGTGCTTTCTTCGGCGTTCTCTTTGCATCCGTCGAGATCGGCCTTCTCGCTGCGGTATTTTTTGACCATTCCTTCTTTACCTCCCTACATCAATAATTATGTAGGGTCACCACTTTTAATGGATAAAATCGTGAATTTCAAATTTAATTAACTACACGATTAAGTTGCTAAATTAAAATTACACATTTATTAATTTAAGTTATGTAAATACAGAAATTATAATGATGATATTCCTAGAGTTAATAATAACAATTATTGGTTATGGCAGATAACAATATCATTTGCAAAGATCATCCTCATCTCAATTCGGCCTGGCACAGAAACCCTAGGCAGACTTCCTGGCACTGATATATTCTGTGACATTGATCAGTATCCTATGGCTATTGACACACCAGGAGTTCTAATAATCCGAGTCAAATCTGCTTTGCTTTGCTTCGCCAATGCTAATTTCGGGAGAGAAAAGTAATAATTAATTACCGTCAATTATTATAATTATTAAGTGATTAACAAAACCCACAGTACACACGTCAAAATAATTAATGATGAATGGAAAGTTAAATATATAATTAACTATTATATATAATGAATTAATTAGAATGTGTTAAATTAAATGTTAAAAGGATTGTGAGATGGGCAAGTAGTGAAGGTTCTGAAGAAGAGAAGCAAGAAAAAGCCAAAAGGAATATTCAACGTGTAGTTCTTGATATGTCCAGTTAAGTGCTTAACTGATTTAATTTCCATTCAATTTTTAATAATACGGGTTTGAGCTTATTAATTAATTAATTCCTTTTTCTCCCCCTCGCTAATGTATAACAGATTTGATGAACATTGACACCTCTGGTATTGCCTCTTTAGAGGAACTAAATAAGGAACTTCTCTCAGGTGGAATAGAGGTATGCATGACTTCTTTGATTGTCTTAATTAATCAAATCTTATTAAATATTTGTAAATTTTTAATTAATCAAATGGGATTGATTTTGGGATTTAATGTTTTGAGCAGTTAGCAATTGTTAACCCAAGATGGCAAGTGATCCACAAGCTGAGAGTATCGAAGTTTGTGGAGAAGATAGAAGGAAGAGTGTTCTTGACAGTGTTGGAGGCTGTCGATTCCGCTGCTCCTGAAGCTAAAATGCCCCCAATTTGATCAACAACTCCGAACATGTATAATATATATGTATAATAACTCAAAATGATTTTCTTTTTAATCAATTGTATGTCTTTATAGCATGCAATGCATATATATATATATATATATATATATGTATGTATGGTCTTGTTACTTTAAAAGCTAAGGTGCATGAAATAAGACAGACCATTTATAAATTTAAATGTCTAACTCGTGGATAAATATGGTTATTATTACTATTTAATGTGGTGGTATTGTTGAATACGTACCAGTTTAGTCCAAGTGGGTGCATAGTTGATCACGAATGAAGTTTGGAGAATCCATCATATTCATAAATAAAATGAAATATCAGTTTAATATTATTTATTTTATTTAATTTTTTAACAACTCTTTTTAATACTATTTTCCCAAAAAATTCAAAATTGTAAATAATTTATTTATGAATTTATATTATTTTTAATTGAAAGGTAATAAAACTTTTGATTCAAAAAAGATTAAAAAAAAAAAAACTAAGGTCATATGAAATTTCATACGCAAAATGAACAATCTACTTTAAAGTTTTGTGAAAATTTATAGAATTTATAATGTATTGTTTCTAATTTCACCTGAAATTTTCATCTTTCCATTTTCTTGTTCCAATATATATATATATATATATTCGCTTTACATTAAATATGTATTGTTGATGTTAGGGTTCCTTTCCTTTTCTTTCTATTTTGGATTTTTCAATTTTCTACATATGTAGTTGAGGAATAACCTGTAATTTTTTTAACTTTATTATTTTTTCAAAAAAAAAAAAAAAGTTTTAATTTTAAAAATTGTAAAGTATATTATGAGTCAAAATGAAAATTTTCAAATGAGTACAAAAACAAAACAAAGACTGAATCGAAAACTTTGTTCATTAACTTATTGTTTATTTTGTCAATATTTTATTTTATTTTTCATCTATTTTCATTTGTTTCGAATTTCTCAATTTTTAAATATTTTTTTAATTCTAACTTAGGAAACAATAATAATTTACAGTTTGAGCCGAACGGCTTTTTTAAAAATTTATTTTTGTAAAATTCAATAATTGAAAGATGACTGGTTTTCAATATTATTTTTATTATAATTGATTATAGTACAATAAAAATAATATTTTAATAATAATATATATATAAAAATATAATTTAATTCTCATTTATAAATTTCTGTAAAATAAAAAAAAAAAAAGAGATAATCGTGATTATAAATATTAAATTGAAAAGCCAATACAGCCTTTTAAAAGTGTCCAGGTTCAATGTTTCTGCTTGGATGCTTAATGATTACAGTGGATGCTCAAAATTGATGATCCCATTTAAAAGCAATAAAAGCAAATGGCATGTATTACCTTTTCGGAGTTGCACTAATTTTTATAATTAATATATATATATATATATATATACCTTCCAAGGTGACTTCAAACTTTTATTATGAGGAATTCTGCATTCCAACTTTTTAAGTGAATGAGCATTATTTTTTCACTTATTATTTATCTCAAAAATGAATCTCATTAGATGAAAATAGTCTAGATTCATTTGTCTTTTGTTTTACATTACTCTAGCTCTACCTGCGGCAAAGATAATGACTTGTTTACTAATTTATTAATTTTTCTTCAAATTAATTTCTACTTTAATTCTTAATTAAATTATTTCTTAAACTTTTAAAAAAAATTTAATTTAATCTCTCCTTTTAATTCACCAGTTAATGCAGTTAATTCTAATATCATATTTTATATTTAACCATATATGACACTTTTTAATTATCTTTTATATAAGTAAATGTCACATTAAATACCACATGACATTTAATACAATATTTAAAAATTTAATGTAAACTATTTTAAATTGGTTTATAAATAAAATAAAAATACGACAACATAAGTAGCTGTCCATGATACCTAACCAAACATCTTCGCTCTTTATTCCCTAGCACTACCAAAACTTCCTTTTCAATCATGCAGTGAGTATACTCTATTAATATACAATATGTCACGTCCCGATACTCGATATGAGGTACAATTCCTACTCATATCATTTCATGCAGTAGGCCCATAAAATATATACATGCATAAATCAAAAAATATAATACAACATAATATCCCATGTGATATATACAGTAATTATATATACAAAACATGAGGTCAAAATTTAGAATCTAACATAACAAAATAAAACTTTTCGAATATACACAAAATATATAAAAATAAAAATTATTTTACAGATTTTACTCGTCTAGTAGCGGTGCTGGCTCTTCATTCTCTTTTGAAAAATATCACAGTGAAATTTAATGAGCTTCACCAACTCAATAAGTATTCATGTTCTCTCAACTCAGATAAAATTTTATGCAAAACACACGATAAGAAACAAAAGTAACAAAAATATTTTGGTGCTAAATTCATGTTTTTGTTTTCACTATTTCACATGTTCCTGATCGATCTAATAAATTCTCTCAAATATCATATACAAACTTTAAATGTATATTCTCATACTCTCGAAAGTCATAAATGCATTTGAATATCAATCGTGTAATACCCAAATTAATTTTAATATAATTTAAAATTAATTTATAAGTATAATTTTTTAATTGTTAAAATTTTAATTTAATGTAAAACTGAAGAAAAATAGGTGAATGATTAAATTGAAAATAATTTTCAGAAAAATGTGTGAATTTTTGGGTTCAGGGGGTATTTTTGAAAGAAAAATTAGAAATTAAGGATCAAAACATAATTTAAAAAAGTTGTCACGTGATGCTCAGTCAGCAGCCCGACGAACCAGAACGCGCCGTGTGGCAAGGGACACTGACGCGGTACCACGAGGGCGATCCACGTGTCCGCGATTGGACGACCCAGATCAGCTCCCGTGCGCACGGACCGCCTGGTGCGTTCCCTCCCCAAATATAATCGGATGGTCAGATTTAAACGCGATCAACGATCCAGATCCACTTCCTATTTAATCACGATTGGACAATCCAGATAAATGCGATGGACCACCCAGATTAAAAGAGAATGGATATAAATAATCCTCTTCGCACCAAATCCTAATCCTAGCTGTCAGACACCCTCGCCGGGAAGAAGACCCAGCTGCTGGGAAGGGAAGCCGCCGCCACCTACCGCCGCATCGGAGCCACTTCCGACCGCCAAAAGGTAAAAAAAATTTCTTTGCTCGGAATTCAATTTTAAACATCTCTATGGACAAATTGGAGCAAAAAGATCAGCGGATTGGCCGAAAATCGCAAGCAAAGCCAGCGCGGCTCCTGCAGAAAATTACAAAAATCGCCTCCGATGAGTCCTTCCCGATTCCTTTTCTGTGTAATTCTTCCACCATTGTAATTACCATTTTCT